TATTGCGTGGTTGGTGTTCCGAATTCCGTGCGTATTACTGCTACTACTTCGACAATCATTACATGTTCCTTCCCGGACGCATATTTATGTCGTGGATAGCCCTGGTTTTTTAACCCTCGGAAACGTTTTTATTCAAAGATGATCAGTCATTCGTCTTGCGACCCTATCCTAAAGACACACCAGCATGTTAACTGGTTTGAACGCTATGATGTGATCCGTTACGAAACCGTTTGCATGTATGCGGTGATTCGGGCCTACAAGATGAATCAGACCACGGAGTGACGCGTTACATTATTCGGACAACTATGATAAGTCAATTTTCACGGGTGACTTTAACAACTTGCGTAGGTGTGACACCTTCTGGACCACATTCCTTAAGCAGATTGTATGAGCCAATCATAGATCGTGCGGCCCAGACAGAAGCAGAACGATGTAAGGTATACTGGAATGCGATTGATAGGAGCCCGGATGACCAATGAGCATTTCTGTATATATTATTTCTTCTTATAGACGATCTACTACCCATGCGGCTTTTTCCTTGCGTCTCGTTTACATGGGGTATTGCGTGCTAGTGACATAGGTGATCGAGTTCTTACGTGACGTCCGTGATCCGTGATCCGTATTCCATGATTCTTGTTTCAAACTCAATGCGTACTACTAATACTACTACAATTACTATTACCACAGACGCGCTTCACTTACATTTTATGTAGCGCGAGATACATTTTTACCAAATCAAGGTCCAACCAATCGGCGTGCGGTTTGTCGTGTCACTCTGTGGGTCTGTGTGATTTCGCTGCATAGTAGTGCAAGTCATTCAAGGTAAATCTGTTTGCAAATACACTTCTTAGATCTGTAAATAGCATGAACGTTCAGCAAAATCTTTAGTTTATTTTTTTCCAATTTTGGTGAAATAAATTGAACGGTTTCGTTGTCTAATTGCCCTACTTAACATTGTGTTTATTATGATAATTTAATAGTAGACTCCTAAACTGAAACCAAAGTCCACATAAAGGATAGCACCCAAACAAGGCTAATGTACTTGGCCAAACGTTTCGCGATTAGTTACTGATGTGAAACGGACGATTTCGATTCGTATCAAACTTCTACCTGAATACCTGTTCATGCCAAATCTTTCGCTCAGTCGGTCAGTTTTGCACTCGAGGAGCATTGCACTTTAGTTTCGATCTTGTTAGGGCTTATCATGTGAATCAATCTACCGGTACTTTCAAAAATTTAGTTCTAAACACATTGCACGTTTCACAATGTCTGTGTTACATCTGAGCAAACGTGTCATAATTGAATGACCGCTGAATTCACAGTGACTTGTATGAAGTGCTTCATAAATAATGTCGATCTGAATAGCCGTTATCTATCTTCTGTTATGAGAAATCGATTTGAGTGTTTTTGAAGTGTATCACTGGCTGTATGCAATCCAGATTGAACGTACAGATAACAACCGGCAGCATTCTTCGAGGGAACAAGTAAAATCTTGAGAAAATCAGGAGTAGGCTAGTAATAAGGTACCACTTCTTTAAAAAGCGTAACGGTCCCTGTCTGGAACAAGCTACCATCTCAACTTATTGAATGCCCCTGAACCTCTCGTTCTCAGATCTATCCGGGCGAGCAGGGTCTATTATATTTACCTGATGAACTACACGTAGCTGATACTGTTCCTTCTCGCTTTTTGTTCCACCTTCCGGTATAAGCATTACATTCCTGGGAGAGTTGCTCNGCTCAGGAACGAAATTCGCCAATAACGGGACAACCACAAATGAAGTCTTGCTTGCCTGCGCGGTATGATTGGAATTTTAATTTCATTTTCAAATAAAATGGATTTGATTTATCCTAAATCCATTTGATATCACTCATTCAAATTGATTTTCATTCTAGTAAATGATCAATCTAGATAGCAGGTACACATTGATCTCTCTTAGGGTTTGTCTTGTTGCTCAAACCAAATCAGTCTGCTCATGAGGGGCAAAATTTACTAAACATGTACCACCGTTGGAATTCCGTCAGCGATCAACCGTATTTTAATAGAAACTATCGACAACCTGATATAGAGAGTATGAACGAACATATCGACAACGTGTCATTTCATTTATAAAAATTTGTCGACATTCACTGGGACAAGTTCCTAGCCGGAATGTGCTTAGATTTACGTTTTGACAAACGTGGTAAAAACAGGTTTGTTCAAATTAGGATGCGCGCAGTCAAGATATGTTCAAAATAATGAGTCATTTCTCCCTGATTGGTTGTTGTCCCATTACACACAAGACGATTCGAAAACCATTTGTTTCATTTCCGCCCAAAGCAATTTGAACAATTGGTAATCTGCCAGTACCCGCACAGGTAACCGGCGAGCATAGTAGTATGTGGATGATTTTTTTGACATTTGACACATGGATTAAAATTTCCAAACTTTGAAATTCTATTGATCATTAACATAAAATGTTTCATAGCCCTTCCGGATTTTGACTTCTGCTGATCAAAATAATTCACTATTTATCACTACAATGCTATTTATTAATACTTATTTCTGTATTAATCATCCGGATTTTTTCATTATTCGACCCTGGGAAGAATCAGAATTTGGAGACAGTTATCAACATACGTGTCGCTGGGTTTGGAATAACAATATCAAGCTGGATCAGATTATACACGCATAATGCAATTTTCCATAGCCTGAAAACGATTTGTCGTATCCTGTTCCCGACGTAGGAGTATCGTGTTCAACCAATGAGTGACAATCTCTGCGTTCGGACTGACCCAAAATTCTCATTGGTCAATGTGCGTACAACTGTGAAATCCGTGCGTTTGACATTACTACTAATCAAACCTCTGTTCATTATCTTTGTGGTTTTTTGCCTATGACCGGTCCATATCGGATGAACTAGAACAGACGATGATTGACTACCACCATCTGCCTTGCTGACATGCCAACCACATGTGTGTAAATCAATTTCCGACACCGGAGCAATCTTTGTGAGTAAAAATATGGCACAACACAAAGGATTAACTGCTCCGCAAAACACTTTCCTCAATACCATTGTGGCTCGAGCAGATGGCGCATGTAAGTTTCGTCATGACTGAATGCAACGTGGACTGAGTTCAGTTATGAATAATACGGGGTCAACGATTCCTTCAGATTATTTCCCTTGTTCATAGAAATGTAATACGAACTGGGTAAACAAATAGCACATAATTGGTTCATGTATCGCATATTGGAAAGATGCAAAAGAGCTCAAACTGGGCACCATCATTAGATAACGTTGTTGTTTTTAAATATTTGGATTATATTTGATCACTTCTTTGTTTGAATTCACTATTGACAGTAATGATCATACTGTGAAATATCCTATCAACTATCACCTACGAAACGATCCTGCAGTTGTACGCTCTAGGTAGACCACAGATCGAATGAGTCAAACACATACCATGATGAAAAGCTCAAATATTTTCATAGGATAACATTTTTATTATACTCACAACATTCACAACTTTCTACTCTATTGACAGAAGATATTGAAAAATATCCTCAAGAAAAGGGATAAAGGCACTTTTTATGGCGTTTGCTCTGACCTTTTATTTTTTTATGGTAAAAATGTTTTTTTTTACGGCTCACCATGCAAACAAACCATTAAAAAGGCCCTATTGAACTTATTTCACATTGATCCACTTACGCACTCCCGCATGAGAAACAGCAAAAGATGATAAATCGATAAAAATAAGACTAGTTTCCAGGTTTTTACGGGTAACAGGGAAATATTGAAACTGTACTTTGTGTCTAGTTCTATTCTCTTCCCATCTATTCTATTGCGTTTTGCGGGAATTTGAAGAGGTGGAGAAAACTATGAAACAAAATCTGAATTACAAATATATAAAAAAGAAAATTGCAATCTTATCATTTTAGCTTACCATCAGGGGGAGATTACTAAGTTCTAAAGGAAACGAGTTAAACTGGATAAGATTGATAACGAGATAACAATAGCAGTATCGCAGTATTGCACAGCATTGGCGGTCATTATTTACAAAGCCACATTTTGCTGAAATCATCAATTTGTCCATCAGCGAGAGAGGATGGAATGTGCGTTACTTGAAATGAACAACTCCGAAGAATTGAGGAATACAGATATTTATTAACCTCGTTAAAACATCTTCACTTTTATAACTTTTATTCCTTCAAGAAGTTATTTTTCATTCAGTGGATCGATTAGGATATTGCCCCACATCATACACAACATACCTGAAATACTACCTACTCAATTCTTTACTTTTATTAAAGGAATATAAATAAAATGTATGATTTCTTCATCTGATGACAGTTGTTGTTGGAGCACCAGTTGTAAAACGAAGTAGCTACAGCAAAAAAATAATTATAATTTATATTCATTAAAATCACACGTAGACCTGATACAAGAATTGTAATTTCATTATGCTAGTATGCTGTTTGCTCTTCTTCAAATTACAGCACTGGAGCCAGTCGTTTTCGCATAGAGTCAAACGACATTGACCAATTTCCTCTATTAAGTGCTTTACCCTAACCACTGACGACCATATTAGAGGTAGCTAACATATCCATGTTTACAACACAAGGAAAGGTTTCTGATTACAATCAAGTCCAAACTGCCAAGTGATAATTGAATGCATTCGACAGTTGACTGTCTCACCACAATAACTGTATGAATGTGAAATAAAAACTATATTTAATGACTCCTAAGCAATCATTTCTACCAACCTCAGACAGGAAGATATACAAAACCTCATTTGTAAAAAATCTGACCTTGGCAAATGCATTCCGAGAGTGGTACTTATCAAAAAACAGTTTGTTATGTGCAGGAGACCAACGGCACAAGGCACTAACTAGTTGTTTCCCTTCCAACTCGTTAGGTCGGATGTATGTCAATCAATTTGAATTTAAGCAAGAACAATTTGAGTTAGCTGACTTATTTATCATACACCGAACGAGAAGAAATAGGGTGTTTTGACAACTGATGTTCAGCTTATTCAACACTTTCATTAAAAAAATATTCGTTAGAAAGAATGAACTGCCGTGCTGTTTTACATTTGCTATTTTCCGAATCTGAGCCGTAAAATCTGAACTACCACAAATTCGGTTATGATACTCAAGTTGATGTATATTCAAACGGTGATGAAAGAGAAACAAGAACAGAGAAGCGGGTGATAAAGTCGTGAATAAATATACCGCACCTGAATAATATTGCGAAATGACAGTCATGTGTGGAGCAGATTAGGCAGGTTTCGTTTATAATCCATCTTTATTATCCATTTTGTCGTACGATGAAATTGACCCAGACATTCTTAGCGACATTTCCTAAATTTTGTTTGTAATTGTTGCATTCAGAATAATTACACATATGCTTACTGCCGATTGCTAGCCTGTTTCTCTTACACAGAATAGTAAATATGATAACCTTTACAAATTGGTTCAAGGCCACGGTCACTGAGCGATTTGTTTTGATATGATCCCATTGAATTGTTGCGTGACATTTACAACAGACAAAAGGAACGGAATATCATTATGTCACCAGAAAGAAACTCAGATTTATTCTTGTCATTCAGAGCAGATGAAGAACAGTTTATCTTATGATCAAGAGTTAACTAGCACAATTCCATTGAATATAAAACCGGTTTTAAAGAAAATGCCTTTTGTTCAAGAAAATGACCTCCTTTAGAAACGAAACGTTCAATTTAACTTTAATCAAGTCTTAATCCAACTCGGTTATGAATAATATCATGCATACAAGTATATGTATATTTATATCTATATACGAATGAGTGGATCCCAATTGAGTCCCAAAAGCTGTACAACACTTTGTGGGTTTCCAGTGCGCTCTTCGTTTGTTCTTTGCATGCCCTAAATCAATAAATTTCCGCTGGACTCTCGTCTGCATAATCACCACCGTCGTTGTCTCTATATTTTCTGCTAATAAGTCTCATCCGTCTCGTAGCTATAATGTGTGTTTCTCCTATTTTTTCGAACAACAAGCGGATTTTAGTCACAAAATTCTTAGCGACATTTCCTAAATTTTGTTTGTAATTGTTGCATTCAGAATAATTACACATATGCTTACTGCCGATTGCTAGCCTGTTTCTCTTACACAGAATAGTAAATATGATAACCTTTACAAATTGGTTCAAGGCCACGGTCACTGAGCGATTTGTTTTGATATGATCCCATTGAATTGTTGCGTGACATTTACAACAGACAAAAGGAACGGAATATCATTATGTCACCAGAAAGAAACTCAGATTTATTCTTGTCATTCAGAGCAGATGAAGAACAGTTTATCTTATGATCAAGAGTTAACTAGCACAATTCCATTGAATATAAAACCGGTTTTATTATTTCATACATATAGACTTTTCAGCCCATTGGGTAAACAATGAAGTTTTCATTGAATAAATGTGTTGGAAATCTAAATTGTGCCTACAGAAGTCGAAGTTGAAACTTGAATACGATGGTGTTGCTATGGGATACTCGGTAATAGTGTTCTCCTAAAAAAATTGAAATGTCGATTGTGAAAATTCCGAATAGCCCGGGTGGGGTTCGAACCCACTCATGGACGCCGCTCTACGAGACCACACGGATAACACTGATCCTTTCACATTTGAATTGACATTCCAAACCACAGATGCATATGGCATCCAACAATTGGTATGTAGCTGACAGCCCCGACAGGTTTTCTCTAGAATTCACCGGAGTCTACCTAATCGATGGAAAAGTTAATCGTTCAAATTGTTGTTTGGCAGTTTGGAAGTTTCGTATGTCTAGGTTGTAGAAAACTCAGTAGCTTCTGTGGGATCCCAACACACGCATGGACGCCGTCTATGCTTTGATACATTGCACGCAGCGTGCATTAGAAGCTCCTTCGGTGGACTGCAGTGAATTTTGAGGAAAACCTTTCGCGGCAGTTGGTTAACATGAATTCGAAGGCCGGAATTGAAGAGCAACTGACACAGAGCACCAGGGAATGTGATGGAAAAACTCGTAACGAGTTCAGACACCAAAAGGTGAAAGGATAGATGTCAACCGTTTATGATTGCGTTAGCAATGATCGCAATTCAGGTATAACCTTAGGAATGGGTTATTTTGGGGTGTTTAACTGATGTACTTTCAGGCATTTAGTTATTATTGATCCGCTACGTTTTGATACATCAAGATGTAGATAAAAGTAAGGAAACCAGTCGTGAAAACTGAAACTGATCGATTCCGATCCAATTCTAAGTTACCAAAATTTTGAAGGTGGAACAGAAGAAAAAAGTAAAATCGATATCTGAAAACAATCAGAAAAGGATCAGGATAAAACCAAGTGTGGCTGTATGGAGGGAAATAAATTGGCCTCCGTCTTCGAAATAGCTCCTGTAACAATCCTTGTACTGTGGTTCATATGCAAGTGAAATCACCATATCTAGACGCATTTTTTCTCTTTGGAATAAATGAGGGTAAAAGAGGATTGACTGTAAATACCATAGCGTTCAATATTAGTTGCTTGCTTCTAAAAGTAATCGAATAATAAGCATTACCAAAATGGTTGCCTGACTGTATGATAGTTTACAATAATTTAAGAAAGTTAGACGAACAGTTTTAAAGAAAATGCCTTTTGTTCAAGAAAATGACCTCCTTTAGAAACGAAACGTTCAATTTAACTTTAATCAAGTCTTAATCCAACTCGGTTATGAATAATATCATGCATACAAGTATATGTATATTTATATCTATATACGAATGAGTGGATCCCAATTGAGTCCCAAAAGCTGTACAACACTTTGTGGGTTTCCAGTGCGCTCTTCGTTTGTTCTTTGCATGCCCTAAATCAATAAATTTCCGCTGGACTCTCGTCTGCATAATCACCACCGTTGTTGTCTCTATATTTTCTGCTAATAAGTCTCATCCGTCTCGTAGCTATAATGTGTGTTTCTCCTATTTTTTCGAACAACAAGCGGATTTTAGTCACAAAATGCCACTTGAGTTCAGATTGCTTGCACTGTGATCTGCTAATCTCACCCACGCGCGCGCGACAGAGAGAGATAGAAAGCACCTATTTTTTT